TTTCGCTTTAGGCCCACTCTCTTTGGATCCCCCAATATCATCCATATAAGAGTGCTTGCTTAATTCTTCTGCAGATTCTGGAAATTCTTCTTTGGAAATATTTGCTAAGACTTGAATTGAGTTAGTTGCGATATCGGGCGCAGGTTTATCACCGAAGTTCAGTCGTATCCATTGGTACACGGTTGGCTCATCTTTGACATCTTTTCGCCAGAGAAATCGGTGATATACTTGGTCATCGGGATGGATTAGAATTTGGTTGAACATCTTTCTGATATCTCCACAATATGCGTTTTCATCCCATCGCCATGCCATTAGAACGTTTGGTAGGCTGTTAAGATAATTCGGACCTTTCTCTAGATGATCGTTTAAAGATAATCCTTCTCTGCCTTTAGCTGATGCATCGAATACCAATCTTACTTTGGTTGTTCTTTCTGGAGTAAAGACTGCTTGTAAGGGAAGATACCATTCTCTTTTAGTGTGGTCAATCTCATGTTTTGGCACTTCGATTACGAACTCTTGGTCGATTAGCTTTTGAACTTCCGCTTCGATGACAGGTAGACAATCTTTTCTTTTAAAATCTCTCTCGGCTGAGTACATTCGTTTCAAGGCTAAATCATAATTACTTGATTTAGGTGGTCCAGCATCTTTCCACGGYATTTTCACTTGTACTCGTCCATCGACAATCTTGGTTGATTGTTCTAGTGATTTGACAAACTTGTTTTCTTCTAGAACATTATCAGTACAGACACACATCTCTGTCGGTTTAACTCCAAGCATATCTTGAGTGAATAGATTCTTCACGTCTTGAAGGGTGTCGATCGTGTCAACATCAACGAAGTTGATTTGCGGGCAATTCGATGACTCTGTTTCAAATTGTCCTACGATATACCATCCAAAGATATTCTTCTTTGCAATTGGTTCCCCTGACTTTCCAGTAATTACATGGGCATCTACAAAGGCGTCTGAAAAGTTGGTTCCGATAAGAACGTCTATCTTTCCACCAGATAAATATACTTCTTTAGAAATGTCTTTCAGATGAGAGAAGCTTTCCACTGACTTTCTAGAAACAGTCTTTGCTGGACTACAGGTCCGTTGGATCGTGAAAGCGTTGAAAGTTTTCTTGACATTTAAGTCTGTTGACGGTACGATATTGACTTCGACTAGCTCGGATTCTTCTGTCTTCTTCTTTCCCCCTGCGAGGTTCATCGTTAGTCTGCTGCGCGTACCTTGGAGACCTAGTTTTCTTGCTGTATCTTTAGAGAGGAAGGTGTAGTTAGAACCACTATCAATCATAGCTAGTGCATTGATCAGATTTCCATCTTTATCTTCAAGTTTTACTTGTTGTACAGGACATATTCCAATGACTTTATTTGCTGTACTTTCTTCWGCGATACTGTTGTTTGTAGCAAACGGTAAGGCATGAGGGTTCAGTTGACTCCTTTCGTTATGCAACGTGGTGTTGTGTCTTTTATCGCATTTAAGACAGGCAGATRTATCAGGTAAAATGCAATTGTCTGTATGATGAGGTTCAAGACATTTTCGACAGCGTTTGTTTTTCTTGACTAATTGCCACCGTTCGTCCACAGTTAACTTGTGGTATTTGTCGCACAGTCCGAGTGGATGGTACGAAAGACAACCATTTATGCATTTCTGTGTATTACTGTTACTTGCAGTCGTACTAGCTGCTGAAGCTTCAGTTCTTTTTCTAACCATCA